GTCGATAGTGAAATCAGTTGGACAGCGAGCCAGAAAGTGGTCCCTGACCGAGCGAAGAGAGTCAAGGAGACGGGTCACTATGAAGTGGAGGGTCTAGTACATCGGAGGCGGGTTCCTAGCTAAGAAATCTTTGGGGAGGGTGGCGCGAAGGCGAGTGTCACTAGTGCGAAGGTGGGTGATAAGATCGGCAACTGTGGCAAAGGTGGCAGCATGAGGGCTATGTGCAGCAGTGGCAGGGGAGGAGTATCGAGCAACTACCGCGTTGTACAGGGCCTTAGCGGTTTGGTGTTCGCCAAAATGCGTGAGCTTGGCTAATGGCAGGTGGTTGCGAACGGTTAGGCGAGCAGCAGCGTCATGAGTCTGCCACTGGGAACGGGCGATATGCTCAGCTGTGGTAGGAGGAGCGACTGAGGCACCCAGCGTCTGGTCAAAGAGAGTGACATTGTCTGGCTATCGCTCATTAAAAACAGCTGCAGGTCAGCCGGCAGGGCAACAGGGCGGGCTGCGCATAGGGCGTAGCAGGCGGCCGCGGCTGTGGTCGGCGGTGCGCGGGCCTGCAGGCGGCCGGGCAGCAGGGCAGGCTACGCGCAGGGCGTAGCGGGCGGCCGCGGCTGTGGTGGGCGGCGCGCGGGGCTATAGGCGGCCGGCAGGGCAGCAGGGCGGGCTGCGCGCAGGGCTTAGAAGGCAGCCGCGGCAGGGGCAGGCGGCGCGCGGGGCTATAGGCGGCCGGCGGGGCAGCACGCGGGGCGCAAACCGCGGCGCGCGGGGCGCAAAGTGTGGCGCGCGGGGCGGGGCGTGGCGCTAGAGAAAACACGCGCTGCAGCAGTGGCGCGCGGCCGGCAGGGGCAGCGCGACGCGGGGCAGGGCAGTGGGGTAACGCGGTAACTGCAGTCGGAATGGTGGGCCCGGAAAAAAAAACGGTCCTACGGACTTACTGCTCTGAGACCATGTTAGAATGAGAACCTAGGATGATTGCATTGAAAGAAGTGTGGGTACAAGTACTAAGCCTAACATTAGGTTGTACCCCATATGGGCTACCCCACTATAGCCTACACAGAACTAGCACATATATAGTTTGACAGGAGTTGCGCGGGCGGCGGCAGGGCGCGCTAGCGGGCAGAACCCGTCGCGCATCAAGGGCACGCAACGGGCACAAACCGTCGCGCGCTTCGTGCGCGCGACGGGCAGAATCCGACGCGCGCCCAGGGCGTGCGACGGGCAGGAAACTGTCGTGCGCCCAGGGCCACGACGAGCAGGGAGCCGTCGCGCGTCCCGGGCGCGCGACGAGCACGAAATCGCCGCACGCCTGGGGCGCGCGACGAGCAGAAAATCGACGCGCGCTCGGGGCGCGCGACGGGCAGAAAACCGACGCGCGCCTGGGGCGTGCGACGGGCAGAAAACCGACGCACGCCCGGGGCGCGCGACGGGCAGCAGAATAGCGCATATAGCGGAAGCTAGCAGTAGGCCCAGGATCGATGTGCTCTGATAGCATGTTAAAACAGGAGCATAACCTAGGACTAGGAGCCTAGGGTTTAAGCTAGGCAAGGGGGGTGTTGAGAGAATAGTCCAAGCAAAAGAGAGGTTCACTAAAGGGCCAAAGGCCCAAGTTATACAAGAAACAAGCAAGGCAAATGGTGCACCACCAAGAAGGAAACCATATAACTACACTACTGCTAGAGCTACATGCAGTTATACATAAATATATATTCTGACAAGATATGTTATCAATATACGGGCTTTGAATAAATTTTTATATCAGGTTTCATGCATTTGGGCTGGGTTTATTGATACTATGGACACGAGGATACCGGACCGGTACTTGCTTGATATGGACAGGTTTTCTCTGTAGTGCACACTGCTAACGCCACACATTCACGTCCATTCTCGTGAGGTAGACAGCTTACTTATAAATATACTACAGCAGATCGATACTTACCCGGGCAAAACAATCTATCAAACTCGTTCTGAGAGCAATTTTCTCTTCTTTGTATCGCGTACTGCGAAGCCATTCTGGCTGCTGAGCCAACCTTTCCGCCCTTGGAATCTCCAGCTCCAGCATGGCTGTCTCGAGCTTCCACGCCGTACTCACGAGGCCAGGTTATCCAAGTCGGTAGCGAGATTGAGCGGAAGCGAGATTTCCAGGTAGCGCTGCCGGAGGGGAGGTGGGGAAAACCCATAGGGACGAGCATTTCGGACCATGTGGCTCCTCCTCGAGAACTCCACTGTGCCTGAGTGTTTGACTGATAGCTGGTTTCACGTGCGTCAATTGGGCCGTCGCTGGTTCTCATCCCGCTTCCCTACACCTTTCTCGCTTCCGTCCCGCTGCCAGGGTTCGCGGAAACGGGTTTCGTAGTATCAAGGAGTATCGTGTACAGCGCGTGTGCTCAATCCGCCAGCCGTGCAGGTAGATTCGGTGTCAAATTGGCGGGAGCCAGCTCGACAGACCTTGGCTGCTGAGCCTATCCAGCAAAGCCAACACGAGCAACAATTGGCGACGTGAAATGCGTCCTAGACCAGCCTGGCAGAGCCTGAGAGACAGATGAACCTAGGCGATCGACAACTCTTTTACGGCATACGTGGTCCCGGCTGCGTCCGTGTCGTGCTGGTGGTGGTCCCGGCCACGTACGAGAGGGTTCACCAGAGGGTCTCCAGGATTCGGCTCCTCTGTGTTTAGGCGTTACCATTGGTCAGCGCCTGACGCTGTAGCAGGCTTCGAGTGCTGCCTGGGTGTGGAACTCCAGGATTGCTGTGAAACAGCATTCTTCTGGAGTTTTCTGGAATCTTGCACCAGGGAGTTTCACTGAATGACCAAGGTACCTCTGCATCTTGGTATTCTGCTGAGGCTGAGCAGGCTTGTCTTGAGTGGACTGCTTGGTTCTGATGTACTGTGGAAAGGAGCAAGGAAGGATCTCACTGGTACCGAGTGGGACATGGAAAATCGCCATCATGCCGACGCTCAGTGACGCTCACTGACGTTCACTAACGCTCACTGACGTTCACTGACGCTCGCTGAGGATTTTACAGCTTTCGCCTTCTGACGTCGTTCAGTCCTGCCTGATACGTGCAGCAACTATCCGTAGTCCTTCCGCCAGTGGCAGTCGCACAATCAAACCTAAGGCCAGCACGAGATTTACACCCTCGCTGCTATCTCCCATCAATCCCTCCAACCGAATCGCTGAGACGATGGAGGCTTCAGGTCGGTACCATCTCACCAACACAAAGGTTGATCGCGATCACTCGCCAGTCGTATTCCGGGAAGAGAGCCTCACTGCCAGAGAGCAGCACGAGGATAACGCTGACACCTATGGCGCATCATGTGCTCTACTCTGCTGCGCTCTCGCTAGCAAGAGGCTTCTCAATTTCGTCGTAGCTTTCTCCGTAAGCTCTCTCTACTCGTGTTTCACTTTCCGTGTCCACTTTCGCCTGGAAGACCTTGCACATTCTCGTCCACAGAACATCGACCTTTCAGCTTGACAGCCTATTCATTGCACCTGTGAATATCACCCTCCAGCTTTCATTTCACCTTTCAGCTTTCATCCAGCTTTCAGATTTCATTTGAGGTTTTAGATGTCATTTCGGCTTTCACATTTCGTTTCAGCTTTCAGATTTCATTATAGCTTCCACATTGCAATTCAGCTTTCAGACTTCATCCCAGCTTTCACATTCATTTTAGCTTGCAGACTAGATTTCATTTCAGCTTGCATGTTTCATTCCAGCTTTTAGATTTCATTTCAGCTTTAGATTTCATCTCAGCTTCCAGCTTTCAGTTTTCAGTCCAGCTTTCAGATTTCATTTCAATTTCAGATGTCATTTGAGCTTTCAGTTTTCATTTCGGCTTTCACATATCCTTGCTTTCAGATTTCGTTCCCGCTTTCACATTACATTTTAGCTTTCAGATTTCATCCTCGCTTTCAGATTTCATTACAGTTTTCGGATTTCGTGTCAGCTTTCGTTTCAGGCTATCGGCTTTCATTTCATCTTTCAGATTCCATTTCAGCTTTTACTTCTCATTTATGTTTGCAGTGATCATTTTAGCTTGCAGATTTTATTCCAGCTCTCAGATGTCGTACCAGCTTTCAGATTTCATTTCAGCTTCCAGAATTCGTTTCAGATTCCAGGTTTCAGCTTTCAACTTTCCAATTTCGTTCCAGTTTTCAGATTTCATTTCAGGCTTTCGGCTTCCGTTTCAGCTTGTAGCTTTCAGATTTCATTTTAGCCTTCACATTTTCATTTAGCTTTCAGATTTCTTTTTAACTTTCAGCTCATCTTTTAGCTTCCAACTCACCTTGCAGCTCCATTTCATCTTTCAGATCCCATTTCATCCTTCAGCTTTCTTTTTATCTTTCAGCTTTCAGACTTCATCTTAGCTTCCAGCTTTCAGCTTTCATTTCACCTTTCAGCTTTCAGCCATTAGCTTTCACTTGGCTTTCACCCGTGCATGGGGATGGATGACGTCTCCCACAGTCGTTGGCAGCAAGAACCTGAAATATATGCACCCGCTGTGTGTGCTTGTGCCGGCGACGGTGAGCTCCAGGTGTGTCCTGAAGCCAACTTTCACACCTCAGCTGCCTCAATTCTCCCATTCTTCCATGTTCTCCCACCCCACCCACTTACAATCACAGGAGAGCCAACCCATCTCACTCGTTTACAACGATCGAAACCCCCACTGGTCGCAGACCATCTGCTTCTTCCTCACCCGCCCAGGTCTCCACACCCTTCACCTCCGCTTTTCTCACCCCGAGCATCTCCCCACTCTCGGCGCCTGCATCACTCGCAGCAGCCCCTCCCTAACGTCCCTCCACTTGGAGATACAAGGCACTGTTGGTTCCTTCAAGGGCCCCGAGAGCGAGTCCTGGCCGCTGGGTTTTCTCAAGGATTGCGCCCAGTTGCAGGAGCTGAGTTTGGGGCGGGGCATGTGGAAACTCAACTGGCAATGTGTGAACACGGCGCGGTTCAAGTCGATCCGCAAGCTGACCCTAGAGCACGTTCATTATGAGAGTATGAGCTTCCAGTTTCTCGAGATTATCACAGAGCAGCTGCACGAGTACACTCTCTATGAGGACGGCAACGTGCTTCGTGAACATCCCTGCGTGGCTTCCACCACCACCCTCGCCTTCTCCTTCCCCAACGCCCGCCTCCTCTGCTTCCGCTTCGCGAGCACTGAGCTGCAACTCACCCTCACCGTCCCGCCCTCCCTCGAGACCCTATCAGTCGTGGCCAAACGGCTCGTCCTCTCCTGCAAGAGCACCGCCCCTCTTGCTCTCCACCACCTCTCGCTGTACGGTTGGGAGCGCCTCGACATCTCCTCCCTCCGCCTTGCATCCACCAGGGTTGCCTACTTGGATGGACCGGCCAATGACCAAGAAAGTTTTTCCTGGACGGAATTGCTTGACATTATAGCGCCAACAGTGGAGGTGCTTATTGTGAGGCACGGGGTGCCTATAAAGAAGGTGGAGGCGGAGTGGGGGAGGTTGCTGAGCCTTGGGATTGTCGTGCCTCCGTGGGACAGGGATGCTCGTGCAAACAGCTGGAGTACGGGATACGGCAAAGATGATGAGGGTGAGGGTGAGGAGCATTGAGACGATGGCAGGTTGCGCTTTTCTTGGGCGGATGAACCGGGCTATTTCGGCTCAGAGCCGGATGAGGAAGTGGATGAGAATGACTATATGTTTGATGATGCAGATGAGGATGAGGATGATGAATATGATGATGAATATGATGGTGTCAGTGACTATGGTTGTGGTAAGTATAACTGGCAGTTTTGGGAAATGTATGGTCCAGCCATGTATGCCAAGGTAAGGGATCGGGAGCGGTTGCTGAAGGCCTTCTTCAAGCCACCGTCCATCTGCGCTCCGAATCTGCAGTTCCTCTTCTTCCCCAGCTGCAAGGCGTGTAATGCGCCCGCACTGGCTGCACTGCGGCAGGACTACCCCACCCTGGCGCTCTACTGTGTGGTGGACTGCTCCTTTTACTGGGAGAGAAAAGGCAAGACGGTGAGCAATGGGCCGCTGGAGCATGTGAGGGGGGAGAAGAGTGGGGTGTGGGATGAAGAAGTGTGGGAGATGCGGCCCAAGAAAGGGAGGGAGAAGATGCACAGTGTGAACAGGAAGCTGGTGGAGGGGTACAGTGCTGAGGAGGACCAGGTGCATGTGCTGCAGTGTCAGTAGACGGGATGCTCTTTTATTTGTCTCCAGGTTTGGGAACTTGCACTCTTGCTGGTAGAACATGACGATGGCATCTATTGGATGAGGTAGCATAAGCAGATATGCACGAGTCATGATATGTAGGTTATGGATACTACATTGTTTCATTCATTTTTGTTTCATGCATGTCTGATGCTTTAGACAAGGGCCTGATGCATGTCTGATGTGTACGTAGCTTGCATTTTTATTTAAATTATTGTAGTGTTACTGTAGAGAACGCTCACACCCAGCTCTGCATACAATCTATCACTTAAATGTCAGTCGGCACGACAGCTCCGATATGAAATGCAGAGGGACGCTTCACATCACATCCATCAATGTAATGCAGGCAGAATGCTTGATGATAGAACACAATATAATGAAGGTGTGGGTGCTGAGGAGATGGCGGCAGTGAGAAGACAAGGGCGTCAGGCGGAGGGCAGCAGAAGCGCAGCAGCAACGGACCTTCCCTCCTCGTTGAGCACGTTGAGTGTGGATATGGCATGGCGCTGGCGGTGTGATGAGGGGGGGAGGGGAAGAAGGGAATGACGGGGGATAGTTGTGTGTGTGGCATGGCCCTACTTGTTGAGAACATTGAGTGTGGATATGGTGTGGCTCTGGTGGGGGGATAAGGGGAAGGGAAACGGGGAAATTGAGGGAGGACAGGGGTAGGTGTGTGGCTATGCCACGCCCTTCCTCCTCGTTGAGCACGTTCAGCGTTTCTATGGCATGGCGCTGGTGGGGATTTGGGGAAGGAAAGGGGGCTAGGAGGAAGGAAAGAGAGGTGTGGATATGGCACGGCCTTTCTCGTTGAGTAAGCTGAGAGTGGCAATGGCGTGGAGCTGCTGAATTTTCTCAAAAGCGGTTTCAGATAGAGAAGCATTCTTCTGAGCCAAGCCCACCCACGCGCATGGCACAGCTGACCCACCCCAGTCGCATGGCACAGCTGACCCACCCCAGTCGCATGGCACAGCTGACCCACCCCAGTCGCATGGCACAGCTGACCCACCCCAGTCGCATGGCACAGCTGACCCACCCCAGTCGCACAAGGACCCCACTCAAAATGGAGAGCACTTCCAGCTTCATCACGAAGACCCTTAGATGCCCCAGCACTGATTGCACGCCACACACCTAGCCACATGGCACAGCCCACCAGTAGCAGCAGTGCCACAAGGACCCCACTCACAGTGGAGAGCACTTCGAGCTTCATGCCACACGCCCTCACGAACTCCCTCAACTCTCCCGGCACTGCCTGCATGCGCTGCCCCGTGCCCAGCAGCAGCAGCTCTACACGGCGAGAAGAGTGGTCAGAATGAGGGAGGGCGAAGAAACGGCAGGAAGCGAAGAGAGGAGAGCATGGGAGAGAAGGAAAGAGGAGAGCATGGGAGAGAAGGGGAGATCAATGGACAAGATACAGAAACATAACGGCCAGGAGGTGCAGAGAATAAGAGAGAAGCAGGGAAGAGGGAAAAGCAAGAGATGCAAGCAAATCTCAAGCAACAGTGCAGCAGAGCAAGGGGTGCGGTGCAGAGCAGAGCAGCAACGGCAGCATGCACACCTGGTTGCGGGCGAATGAGCTGAAAGAGAGCCAGGCTGTGCGGCAGGCAGGTACGGGCAGGACAGGGGGGGGAGGGGTGGAGGGAATGGAGGGCAAAGAAGTGGGTAAGGAGGGGCATGCAGGGCGAGCAAAAGGAACGCACAGACGTGTGGCAGCAAGGCAGTTTTTGAGGCGCATAAAAAATCATAAAGATCGCCTTTTGAGGCGCCTCAAAAGCCGGGCGAAAGAAAAGAATGTTAATTCTTGAACGAGGGAAGAAGAGGGATGTATGCTGCCGGAGGGATGGCAGAGGAGGAGGAGGGAGGGTGACAAGGAAAGGAAGGAGCCCATGGCATGGCACTACATGATATGCCATACCATTCAAGATAAAAGGAGAAATTATGGCACAGCCTAGTGGCATGCCGCACACCCCTCACATTTCACCCATCTCCCCTCACCTCACCCTTCGCTCCGCTCTCCCTTCACCCCTCGTTCTCACCCCTTACCCCTTTCCCTCACCACTCACCCCTCTTATCACCCCTAATCCCTCTCTCTCTTTCCCCCTCTCACCTCTCCCTCCCCGCTCACCTGTCGGGTGTGACGTCAGCGAGGCAGGAGGGCGACCAGCAGAGCGCCACGTCACCCACACAGAGGATGGAGGAGTCCAGGTCCCTGCCGCCCACCGTGAAGCCCTTATCGTCATACCTGTGAGGGGCATGTGCAATGGGTGCAGACAGTGAGTGCAATGGGTGCAGACAGTGAGTGCAATGGGTGCAGACAGTGAGTGCAATGGGTGCAGACAGTGAGTGCAATGGGTGCAGACAGTGAGTGCAATGGGTGCAGACAGTGAGTGCAATGGGTGCAGACAGTGAGTGCAATGGGTGCAGACAGTGAGTGCAATGGGTGCAGACAGTGAGTGCAATGGGTGCAGACAGTGAGTGCAATGGGTGCAGACAGTGAGTGCAATGGGTACAGTGGGTGAATGGTAGGACACGATAAGTGCGAGCCACAAGGCCAGTCCAAGTCCCTGCCGCCCACCGTGAAGCCCTTATTGTCGTACTTGCGACAGGGGTGTGTGGGGGTGCAGTGGGTGCAATACAGAGGGGGCATGGAGAGGTAGCATCAGCACGAGCCACAAGGCCAGTCCAGGTCCCTGCCACCCACCGTGAGGCCCTTGTCGTCGTACCTGCGAGGGGGGAGTGGGGTGGTGGTGCATGGGGAGCGGAGCAGGGGAGGAGGGTAGAAAAAACGCAAAACGTGAGGCACTTTTTGAGTCCAGCTCCCTGCCGCCCACCGTGAAGCCCTTACGACGGTACCTGCGATCGAGGGGTGCGGGGGTGGTGTATGGAAGGGAGTACGGATGCATAAAGGAATAAGATCAGCATGAGCCACAAGTCGAGTCCACATGCCGCCCACTGTAAATCCCTTGTTGTTGTACCTGAGAGAGGGGAATGCAAGGGAGCAGCGGGTGCATGCATGGAAAGAGGTGTCGGGCTTGGTCAGGCTTGCATGGCACGGCACGGCACGGCATGGCACGGCATGGCATGGCACGGCATGGCATGGCATGGCACGGCATGGTACGGCATGGCACGGCATGGCAAGAGTGGGTAAGCACGCTCGTGTCTCTGCCGCCTGCTGTGCAGCCGTGTCAATGCAGCTGTGGTGGGGGAGAGAGGTTACGGCGTAAGCCTGGCCGTGTAACACGGGCTATTAGCAGACGGAATGGGCTAGCTGAATGACAGGTGTAAGGGAGCGGGAGGGAAGGTGGGAGGAGGGAGGGAGGGAGGGAGGGAGGGAGGGAGGGAGGGAGGGAGGGAGGGAGGGAGGGAGGGAGGGAGGGAGGGAGGGAGGGAGGGAGGGAGGGAGGGAGGGAGGGATGGAGGGTGGGAGGGAGGGAGGGAGGGAGGGAGGGAGGGAGGGAGGGAGGGAGGGAGGGAGGGAGGGAGGGAGGGAGAGAGGGAGGGAGGGAGGGAGGGAGGGAGGGAGGGAAGGGAATGGAAGGGGTGGGGAAGCGTCACTCACGCGAGGATGAACACGTACCCGGAAGTCTCAGCAATGAGCTAGATGGGGGAGAGCGAGATGGGGAGAGAGCGGGGAACAGAGCGAGGGAGGGTGCAGAAAAGAGGAGCGCGGGGGAAGAGGCACTCACGCGGTGATGAACACGCGTCCGCTGCTCTCCGCCGCCCCTTCCAGCACGTTGAAATTAGATGGCTCCGCTGCCCGCGCAACGGCGGACGGCGCGGCTGCTAGGTTGATTTTCGATGGTCCGGCCACCAGACCCCTTCGTTGCTGTTGCTGGTGGGAGTGGTGGGGGTGGTGCTGGTGGTGGGAGAGGGAGTGGGAGGCGCGGTGGTGGTATCTAAGAGAGGTGGTCTCATTTTTCTCAACCGATTGGTGCGGCTGTGCCGCCGCATGTGCGGGTGTGTCGCAGCCATCCCCGCTGTAAGGTCGGCCATTATACGTGGATTCACTAACCGCGCCTACAACGGCGCCGCTAAGAGTCGGCGCCCCGGAGGCACTTGTGGGCGGCAGACGAGGCGACGCGCTTGCCAGTAGTGGACGGCACAGCGCGCCGAGCTTCGATCGCGCGGTCATGGCAGAGTACGTAATATAAGGCGCGCGGGGTGGAGGAGGGAGCACGAGAAAAAAGGTGCAAGGAACGGCCGCACGCCGGTTGCGGAAGCGAGGAAAGGATGTGGGAGGGGTGGAGAGGAATGGAGCGTAGCGCGGAGAGGTGACACGGCGGCGAAAAGTAGCAGCAGCGCGCGCGAGAGAGGAACGGGAAGTGCGCGTGTGGGCGCGTAGAGCGGGGCGGAATTGAGAGGAGCGAGGAGATGAACTATGGGATGGGATCAGTATGAGAGACAATGAGGCAGAGACATACTCGGTACAACTGGTAGTTATGAGTGCACGGATTTCACAACCTAACTGAAATGCACTCGAAGCTAAAACTAGGGAATACAACTGAAGACTACTGAATGGGAGACCAGAAAATTAGCAAAAACAACAAAACAACACACTCCCTCTCAATTTCCTCCAAATCAGGGCTTCCTTTCCAACACCGACAAGCCTTGACATGACAGGGCACCTCAGCACCTTGATCAGTCGGCACCAGCACTCAAGCAATCACAGTACGGCTCGAAACATCACCCCTTGGCCTCCACCACCACATGCCCACACAAGCTTTACGAATCACATGCATCTCTAAGCGTCACTACCAAGAAGCTCCCGCTCAATCTCCTCCAAGCTCCGCCCCTTGGTCTCCACCACACACGCGCGCACAAACACCACCCCGACAAAGCACACCGCCGCAAACCCCACGTATGCCGCCGCCACACCCACCACCTTCACAAACCCTAAAAAGGAGAGGCCTATGACGAAGTTGCAGAGCCAGTGCGTGGTGAGCGCTGCTGCCACAGCAGAGGCGCGGATGTTGGAGGGGAAGATCTCGGGGAGGAGTAGGGCCGGCACGGGTCCGGCTCCCATGGCAAAGGAGAGAACGTAGGCGACTGTTCCCAACACAGAGAGCGGCGCTGCTACGGGCTGGAGTGGCGGGAAGGAGAGCGTGAGGGCTAGAAGCAGCATCGAACAGCCCTGAGGGATGGGAGGTGGGGGGATGGGAAATGGGGAAGGGGAAGACGAGGAATGTGAGAGCAGGACGGGGGATATGGATGAATGGTTTTTTAACAACAGGAGAGCACCGCCGGCACGGGTCCGGCTCCCATGGCAAAGGAGAGCACATAGGCAATGGTGCCGAGGAGGGAGAGTGGGGCTGCTATGGGCTGCAGCGGTGGGACAGAGAGGGTGAGCGCAAGGACGAGCATGGAGCAATCCTGGTGGGATGGGGGGTTTGGGAGAGGGTTGGAGGGTGTTGAGACAGGAGTGGGAAATGCGAGAAAGGAAGGGAGCAGGGTTGAGTGGATTGACCAAGGAGAGGACGTAGGCAATGGTGGTGATGACATAGAGATGGGCTGCTATGGGCTGGAGAGGTGGAAAGGAGAGGAGGGAAGGAGATGTGGAAATGAGAGGGCGAGGGCCAATCTGATGAACAGGATTGCCCAGGTGAGATGGGGAAGTAGGCAATGGGAGATAGGAAGGGATGAGCAATGTAAGCATTGGGATGAGCAATGTAAGCATTGGGATGAGCAATGTAAGCATTGGGATGAGCAATGTAAGCATTGGGATGAGCAATGTAAGCATTGGGATGAGCAATGTAAGCATTGGGATGAGCAATGTAAGCATTGGGATGAGCAATGTAAGCATTGGGATGAGCAATGTAAGCATTGGGATGAGCAATGTAAGCATTGGGATGAGCAATGTAAGCATTGGGATGAGCAATGTAAGCATTGGGATGAGCAATGTAAGCATTGGGATGAGCAATGTAAGCATTGGGATGAGCAATGTAAGCATTGGGATGAGCAATGTAAGCATTGGGATGAGCAATGTAAGCATTGGGATGAGCAATGTAAGCATTGGGATGAGCAATGTAAGCATTGGGATGAGCAATGTAAGCATTGGGATGAGCAATGTAAGCATTGGGATGAGCAATGTAAGCATTGGGATGAGCAATGTAAGCATTGGGATGAATTTGGCGAGAAAACAGCAGCAGCATTTGATAGAGAGTGAGCATTGACATGTGATGCAATGCCAGCCAGCCAGCTTTTGAGGCGCGTCAAAAATCGTTGCATTGAAATGACATGCAATGTGAGCCAGAGATGCAACAATCATGCAAGATCAAGGTGCCATGCATTTCTGCATACCATCATACATGCATATCACCATGCCCCAACACCATACCATACCACCCATCACACCGCCCTACCATGCCCCACCAACCAACACCGCGCCCTACCATGTCCCACCACCCACCACAGCGCCCTACCATGCCGGTAAAGGACCCCATGAGCAGGCTCTTGCGGCCCTGACGGTCCACCAGGTTGAGTGAGACTGCCGTGCCTGCTTGGTGGGTGGCACGGATGGAAGAAAGGATGCAGCGCGAGAGAGGAAAAAAAGGATGGAGTGATAAAATGGCAACCACGTGGGTGCACACGACAGGAGACAGCGCTGCCATGTGCGGCAGCGAGCACAAGGCTGGGGGCAGGGCGAGACAAGCACAGCCAGTTGCATGCGCGGAGCAGCTGCATAGTGAGAAGCACACCCAGACAGGTGTTTGGCCCTGAACCTAGCACGCTATCTCAGCACACCTAGCACGCCATATCAGCACCTTACCTTGCATGGTATTCGCCTGTACCTAGCACGTCAGCAAGGCCCACGAGGAGACTGGCAGCAACGTCTGACTGGATGCCGGCAGTGCCACACCATGGTGCTGCTCACTCTGCCATGTGCTATGTGCCATGCCCCATGCGCGATGCACTATGTGTGATGCGCCATGCACCACCAGGCATGTCAACATTCCACTGAAGCTCAGCCCTGTACGTCGTGTGTTTTGAGTCGACTCAAAACACACCTGAACCTCAGCCCTGTACCTAGCACGTTGGCGAGGCCCACAAGGGCACTGGCAGCGACGTCGGATTGAACGCCGGCGGAGCGGAAGACAGAGGAGGAGTAGTAGATGATGGCGTTGATGCCCGCGAACTGCTGCACTGCGAACAGCGCCATGCCCAGCAGCACCACTGGGAGGGGGTTGGGGTTGGGGATGGGGCGGTAGAGGGAACGGGGCAAACGGGGTTGAACGGGGGTTGATGGAGGAACCGGGGAGTAAGAAATAGGGTGGGAAGGGGACCGGGAGGAGTAGTAGATGATGGCATTAATGCCGGCGAACTGCTGCACTGCGAATAGCGCCATGGCCAGCAGCACCACTGGGGGGGGGGAAGTGGAAGCAAGGGGAAGGGGAGGAGGGCGAGATGGTGGAGACGGGGGGTTGTGGGGAGGGGGAGGGCGTGGGGAGGGGACTGGGTAAAGGAATAGTAGATGATGGCGTTGATGCCCGCAAACTGCTGCACTGCGAATAGTGCCATGGCCAGCAGCACCACTGGGGGAATGTCAGAAGGGAGGAGGAACAGGAGGGTGGGGGAAAGAAACGGAGGAGGTCATGGCGGATAGTGCGACTGTGCAATGAGAGAGGCACGGAAGGAGCATCATTGGACCAGCAGGGATGGAGAAGGGGTGGGAACGGAGTGAAGGGTTGGGAAGGGAAAGAAGAGTGGCGAAGGAAATGAAGGGTTGGGAGCGGTGGTGAGCGGTGGCTGGGCTTGGGATGGCAGTGGAATGTTGTTGTGGCCGTACCTGTTGAGATTTAGAACCTGCCTATTAATCAACTGCAACAGTACCTTTGCGGTAGCGATTCGAAAAGAGGGTGAAGAACGATGCGGCAGGTGCTTCGTCTGCCCGTTTCCTCGCAACACCTGCCTCTGCCTCCGCCAACCCATCCACCGCTGCACCTGCTGCTCCCTTGGCGGAGGCAACAGGTTGAGGCGAGGAGGAGGAGAGCTCCGCTGCAGCAGCAGCAGCCTGGGAGGGACCCAGCAGGCGCTTTAGCTGCCTCTCGGCCTCGTCAATCCTGCCCACCTGGGGGGGCAACAGACAGGGGAGAAAGGTGGGGGGCAATGTAGGGAAGAAGGGGCAGAGGAAAGGCCGTCTGGGGCTCTCGACCTCTGAGGCGCCCACAGCATGCCTGCAGCACACATAGGCAAATGCTTTCACCACACAACTTGCCATTCTTCCACCGCACAACATGACATGCCCACTCATCGCACCTTAGCCAACTATCAGGGGCTCCTCAGGCGCCGACAGCATGCCAGGAGCACACATGAACACATACTCTGTTACCACCCCACGCCATGCCGTGAACCCATCCCACACCATGCCATGCCCACTCGACCCACCTTCGCGAGCCATCTGGAGCTCTCAGGTGCCCACAGCATGCCTGCAGAACACATGAATACATCCCATCCCACACCACCTACACTCCCAGCCACCACCATGCACACATAATCACCTTGACCAACCACGATGCAAACCCCCAACTCATCCCACCTTAGTGATCCATCTGGAGCTCTAAGGTTCCCACACCATGCCAGCAGCAAACAAGAACGCATGCTACCATCCATGCCATGCCCACTCATCCCACCTTAGCGAGCCATCTAGGGCTCTCGGGCGCCCACAGCATGCCTGCAGGCACACATAGGCACATGCTTTCATCGCACAACTTGCGATGCACCCACCGCACAACATGTCATACACCCACCAACTCATCAAGTCATCCCACCTTAGCCAACCACCGCGGGCTCTCAGGCGCCCACAGCATACCAGCAGCCAGGGCGGCCGCTGGTGCCACTCCAATCCAAAACATCTGCCTCCACCTGATTGGCGGAGAGGCGGGGGGGCAGGGGAGAAGAAAGTGGTGACTTTTGAGTCGACTTAAAAGTTGCAGCCAGGGCGGCCGCTGGTGCCACTCCAATCCAGAATATCTGCCTCCACCTGATTGGGTTTAAGAGGCGCGGGGAAAGGGCAGGAGAGGATGGGACACCAAGTGATCAAGGTACTTTTTTTTTTTTTGAGGCGCCTCAAAAGTGGTACTTGTTGGGGAGGCACGGTGAATGCAGCCTGGGCGACCGCTGGTGCCACTCCAATCCAAAACATCTGCCTCCACCTGATTGGTGGAGAGATGCAAACAGACCAGAGGGAGGGGCGCGAGGGGACAGACAAGGTTTGTTGTGGTGTGGGGGAGATGGTACTGCAGCGGTGCAGTGCATAGCACAGGAGGCAAGGCGAGCACAGGTGGAGCAGCAAGCGAGTTGACGTGAGTAGAGCAGGAGGTGAGGCAGAGCAGAGTGCGATGACATTCAGACAGCAGGCTGAAAAGGGCTTCTGTGGAAAGGCATACGGAACTGGAAAGCGTATAGCCTTAAAAATTGAAGTGCAAGCGGTGTACCAGGTGAGGGGCATGCTGGTGAGCACTGGAGCATGCAGCATGCAGCACCGGGGGGGGGGAGGGGGGTGGGTGGGGGGGGGGCGGGGGGCACAATTGAGCCGTGCAGGGTGCAAGGCACCCACCAGGAGGGGTTGGCAGCGAGGGGCAGACCAGCGAGCAGAGCAGCGAGGATGCCGACACAGATGGCCAGCTGGTTCAACGAGCCCAGGCGACCCCGCACTGATGCTGGCGCTATCTGATGCATGGGGGACGGTGGCCATGGCGGGAGCGGCGGTCGAGGCGTGAGTGGGTGGGAGGAGAAGGTTGCGAGTGGGGCTGGGCAGTAACGAGGCAGTCTTAGAGCAGCTTACGGCATGTGAGCCATTTGACGAACAGACTGGGAAAGAGACGGGCAAGAATTTACTTTTGAGATGTCGACAGGGAAAGGTGTGGAGAGGCGGGCACATACACACCTCGAGGATGTAGACGGGCACGACACAGGAGATGACGCCAAAGGCCCCATGGGCAGAGAGGGGGACAGAGAGGTGGGCAGGCAGAGAGGAGGGGGCACCGCACACGCACCTCGGAGATGCAGACGGGCACAACACAGGAGATGACGCCAAAGGCCAGCCCTGTGAGCGCACAGGCATAAGCAGACCGACAGACAGGGCGTGCAAGCGGGCGGGCGGCCAGGCGGGCCGAGAGGCACGCACCTCGGAGATGTAGACGGGCACAACACAGGAGATGACGCCAAAGGCCAGCCCTGTGAGCGCACAGGCATAAGCAGACCGACAGACAGGGCGTGCAAGCGGGCGGGCGGCCAGGCGGGCCGAGAGGCACGCACCTCGGAGATGTAGACGGGCACAACACAGGAGATGACGCCAAAGGCCAGCCCTGTGAGCGCACAGGCATAAGCAGACCGACAGACAGGGCGTGCAAGCGGGCGGGCGGCCAGGCGGGCCGAGAGGCACGCACCTCGGAGATGTAGACGGGCACAACACAGGAGATGACGCCAAAGGCCAGCCCTGTGAGCGCACAGGCATAAGCAGACCGACAGACAGGGCGTGCAAGCGGGCGGGCGGCCAGGCGGGCCGAGAGGCACGCACCTCGGAGATGTAGACGGGCACAACACAGGAGATGACGCCAAAGGCCAGCCCTGTGAGCGCACAGGCATAAGCAGACCGACAGACAGGGCGTGCAAGCGGGCGGGCGGCCAGGCGGGCCGAGAGGCACGCACCTCGGAGATGTAGACGGGCACAACACAGGAGATGACGCCAAAGGCCAGCCCTGTGAGCGCACAGGCATAAGCAGACCGACAGACAGGGCGTGCAAGCGGGCGGGCGGCCAGGCGGGCCGAGAGGCACGCACCTCGGAGATGTAGACGGGCACAACACAGGAGATGACGCCAAAGGCCAGCCCTGTGAGCGCACAGGCATAAGCAGACCGACAGACAGGGCGTGCAAGCGGGCGGGCGGCCAGGCGGGCCGAGAGGCACGCACCTCGGAGATGTAGACGGGCACAACACAGGAGATGACGCCAAAGGCCAGCCCTGTGAGCGCACGCCCCACCAGCATCTGTGGCACCGATGACGCTGTGGCACTGCGAGAGAGGGAGGAAAGGAGGGAGGGCGAGGGTGGAAGGGGCATGAACTGCAGCCTCACAACGCACTTCCAATATGATTAGCCCTGTGAGCGGCCTCCCCACCAGCATCTGTGGTGGCGATGACGCTGTGGCACTGCCAGGAGGTGGGGGAATGGGGACAAGGGTGCAGAGGGGGGTGGGGAACGGGGCGTATTCGGCTATTAGAAGACCTTGAGGCGGCGCATCGATGCCCGGGCAGTGAGCGTTTGGAGGCATAGAGGGAAGCGGGAGGGGAGAGGGGAGAGGGGGGGGCTTCTGCAGCGGAGAAAGAGACCGGTTACAGGGGCTGTGGCGTTGGACGATAGCAGTTGACTGCAGGTTGGAAGGGCTGGGCTGGGCTGTGAGCGTTTGAAGCGGACCTATGACCAGGCACGTGGGTTGGACTACATAAGCGGATTTCAGAGAGAGGCTTCCAACCTATGACCACATGCCTGGGGAGTGAGCGTTTGAAGGTGTGGCGGGGGGGAAGATGGGGACTGCTGCATTGGAAGCGAGAAGCGGGATACAGGGGATATGGCGAAAGCAGGAAAAGACGTGAGCTGTCTATCGGCCCCAGATGTCTGTCTATCAAACAACGAGATGTTGTTCTGCTGGACCCACACACACTCCCTGCCATCGCCGCCAGCCAGCTGAGAGACAGCCAAGAGATAGCAACAGCTCTGTTATCTGCTATGTGTTCCAGCAGTCAATATGCGTGCGAGTAGGTGGAATGCTGTTCGTCGCCCACACAGTCAGCCAAGCAGCCAGGCAGCATAGTGGCATCCGCCTGAAACACCTGCAACAGCGGAGGGAGCGAGCACCTGAGTGCACTTCCCAGTGCGAGGGGCAGCGAGAGCAGCAGGAAGGTGATTCGCCGGCCCACAGAATCGGCGAGCCAACCAGTCGGCTGAGAGGGCCCCACACGCTGCTGTGTAGCTCAAGCACCCTGGAGCGGAAGAAGCATGTAGATGAAAGCACCTTGCAGCAGCAGAAGAAGTGTGTACCTGAGCGCGCTCCCCAGTGCAAGGGGCAGCGAGAGCAGCAGGAAGGTGGTTCGCCTGCCCACAGAGTCTGCCAGCCAGCCGGCTGAGCTGAGAGTGCGCCACACGCTGCTGTGTACCTCAAGTCAAGCACCTTGCAACAGAATAAACATGTACCTGAGAGCACTCCCGAGTGCGAGGGGCAGCGAGAGCAGCAGGAAGGTGGTTCGCCTGCCCACAGAGTCGGCGAGCCAGCCGGCTGAGAGCGCGCCACACGCTGCTGTGAGCAGCGATGCACTCACCACCCAGCCTGGCGGCGGGAAGGGGGGTGTGAGGAAGGGTACGGGAGATGATGAGATGAGACATGGGAAGGGAGGCGAGTACCAGTGTGAGGGCTACGAGGTTCTGTTTCTGCTGTGAGTCCACAAGGCAGCCAGCCACCTGAGAGCACTCCGCACGCTGCTGTGAGCAACGATGCACTCACCACCCAACCTGGGGGGGAATGGGAGGGAAGGAGGGGGCGTAGACGATCGGGCATGGGGAGGCGAGTAACAGCGTGTGAGCCCAGGCGATCTGGGAGTCATTTGAACGGGACGCTCAAGCATGTAATGATGAGCAGGCTTGTGACACGTTTGAAGAAGGTGCCTGTGATGATGTGATGAGCAGTGAGGCACTCAGCACCCAGCCTGGCGGGGCAGCGGGAGGGGGGGTACCGTGGAGGATTAGACATGGGGAGGCGAGTAAGGGTGGTGGTGCGAAAGGAAGACGGCTTGGTGAGGGTGGTGTTGTTGTGAGGCGACAAAGGGGGGGATAGAGCTTACCACGACAGCGCGCATAAGTAGAGGGGTGTATGGAGAGCAGCAGACGGTGGGAGTGGAGGGATGACAAGGAGAAACAACAGACCGTGAGGCAATGTAGTAGCAAGAGGCACACACACATGGCATGGCAGCACTAGCGTACCTCCTACGAGGGAGTTGCCAGGCGCGCCGATGCTGATGAGGATGTGATCCAACGGCCCGTTCACCACACTGCCACACACGCGAGAGAGAGGGGGAGAGGAGGGGATGATGTTTTAGGCGCCTCGAAAAGACGCGAAATTTCTTGCGCCTGAGAAGGGTTGCCTGGCGCGCCGATGCTGACGAGGATGTGATCCAACGGCCCGTTCACCACACTGCCGTGCCGTGAGCGGGAGAGAGGGAGGGTGAGAGAGAGGAGGGAACGATTTTTGCGGCGCCTCAAAAAGAGATGCCTGGCGCGCCTATGCTGAGTAAAATGTGATCCAACGGCCCGTTCACCACGCTGCCGTGGATGTGGGGGGAAGAGAGGGGGCGGGAGGGAACGCGCATGGAAGGTGAGCCGTGATGTTTTGCCTTGTTTGTGAGGCAAGGCAAGGATGGTTCTGGTCTGGAATGCAGCGGAGTGGAGGAAAACACACAGGCAGGCAGGCGGGCGGCCCTAATTTGTCACACCGCACCGCACTACACTACTACGGTGGCTCCACCGTGGAGCTGTTGTGTTGCTACGAACCCATCACATCCACTCGAACCTGATGTGGTAACCGAAGGCGAATGCGCCAATGCATGCGAAAAGCACGGCGGCCAGCACCATGCCTCCGCCCGTTCCCCCCGCTGCCTCTGCTTCCCCCCCACCGCCCCCACTTGCGCGAGCCGCCACCGCCCTCCCCCTGCCGCCTCTGCCGCTCCGCAGGCCTGGAGTGGTTCCTGAGCTGCCGGCTGAATTTCGCGCCGCAACTGCGCCGCCGGGTACGGCGCCTGATGCGGCGCCTGATGCGGCGCCTGATGCGGCGGAGGCACCTGGTGGGGACCTCAAAGCGGTGGCTGTGATTTTCCGAGACATGAGGGATGCGGGGATGGCGGCGGGAGATGCGGAAACTCTAAAAATGCGGCTGGTGGAGAGACAAGAGTTTTCGGAGAGGTGGTGAGGGGTGCAGGGAGTTCGAGGCGCGGATTGCTGGGTGTAATGGACAAGGGTTCTGGGAGATGGTGACGGTAACGATAACGATAACGCCGACCCGGGCGGAGACAAAGTTAGAAGCCTGGTTGGGCCTCCCTGTCTGCGTTTGCTAGCTGTGCGTGCTGTCAATGAAGCTGACGGCGACGTTGACGTTGACGGTGACGGTGACGGTGAGATTGACGACGAAGGGAGAGCGCACAACGACGTTGGCGCGCTTACAGCAACGGAGGCGAGCATGATGAGAGCCGTCCGCACGACAAACTATAGTCTTGGATTTGGGTGAAATAGCTACTAAGATGACACAATTACCGCATTATGAGCCCCATTGCAGGAATGACTTACGTTTGGTGCTGAAGATTGAGAATTGCGTTCCCGCTATTGGCATTGCTTGGCGATGAAAATAAGATACCACATATCCACAATTCACTAAAATTGTTAGCAATTCTACAATGTGCGACTACAATCAGAGCAAAACAAACGCGAGTGGCCAATGCACGGATATTCCAAGATTTGATTGGCTGGACTAAGCACTTCCTAAAACCTTCCTTTGTACTTCAACATATGAGCCTCATCCTCCTCAACTCTATACCCCTCCACCAGCTTCCTGTTCACACTGTACATCTTCTCCCTAACATTCTTCGGCTTCTTCTCAAGAAACCTATGCCGCAGCATCCCGCTCTTTGCCTGCCGCACATGCTTGAGCGGCGCATTGCTCACCCTCTCGCCCTTCCTGTGCCAGTAGAACGAACGGTCCACCACACAGTAGAGCGCTAGGGCGGGGTAGTCCTTCCGCAGTGCAGCCAGTGTGGACGCATCACACGCCTTGCTGGAAGGGAAGAACAGGAACTGAAGATTCGGAGCGCGGATGGAGGGAAGCTTGATACTATCCTCGTCATCATCATAATTATCCATATCATCATCATCATACTCCCCATCATCCATAAACGCCCTGTCATTCTCCAGCGTCGCCTCCCACTCCTTACTATGCTCCCCCTTCGCGTGCGCGACAATCCCAAGGCTGCGCAGGTTCCTCCACACCTCATCCACCTCCTCGATCGGGATCCCATGCCTCACTATAAGTACCTCAACGTTTTGCGCTATGGAGCCCAGCCAGTTGGTCCAGGAGAAGTTAGAGATGCCGTATGGAACATGCTGCCAGGAAGGGGGCAGCTGAGCAGAGAGCCTCGGGCAGCTGGATTCCTCATCGCTGGCCGGCCCATTGAGGTACACGGCTCGCGTGGATGCGGTGTGGAGGGAGGAGATGACAAGGCGCTCCTGACCATACAACGAGAGGTGGTCGAGAGCGAGAGGGGCGGTGCTCTTGCAGGAAAGCACGAGCCACTTGGCCATCACCGATAGGCTCTTTAGTGAGGGCGGCACGGTGAGCTTGAGCTTGAGCTCGTTGCTGGCAAAGCGGAAGCGGAGGAGGCGGGCATTGGAAAAGTTGAATTCCATGACGTGGGAGCCAAAGACGGGCCCATGAGAGAGGTGCCAGTGCTCGTAGAGCGTGAACTCGTGCAGCTGCGGCGTGATCGACTCGAGGAACTTGTAGTTTCTATATCTCCTATCCATGTGCTTCAGGGTCAGGCAGCGGATGGACCTCACCCACGCTGCATTCGCACAGCTCTCGTCAAGGTTCCACATGCCCCAGCCCAGCTTCAGCTGGTGCAGGCGCGAGCAGCCGGTGAGGAAGTCGAGAGTCCAGGCTTCGTCCTCCTGCTCCTCGTCGCTGTCCACGAAGCCCCACAGCTTGATGCTGAAGGAGGAGAGGGAGGGGCTGCAGCGAGCGATCAAGGGGCGGAGGGTGGGGAGCTGCTGCAAGTTGGTGAAGATGAGGTGGAGGGAGGTGATGCTCTGGCCGTGGCGCGTGAGGAAGTAGCGAATGGTCTTCTGCCAGCTCTTCTCCTTGTACACGAGGGAGATGGGCTGCCTCTCCTGCACTTCATGGGGATCAAGGAAGTTGGGCTTTGTGAAACTGGCTGGTGTGTTCAGTATCGCAAAAGAAGGTTGTTGCATGTTTAAGATATTTATGTGTGTTGGACTGAAGCACATACACATGGAGAAAGTCTTTTTTTTAGTAAGTTTCGATTCTCAATCAGAAATAGCTGCGAGAATTAGTAAGAGATGAAAAGAAAATAGATGAGGAACAGAAAGAGTTGATAGGAGAACGAGGAAGAGCAGAAGGCTCACAGCGAAGGAGAGGACATGGTGGAGAAGCTTCTTGCTGGCGATACCACAGCAGAGTAGAGGCCAGGAGGACCCATAGCTGTTGTCGTTGTATCTATGCTGATCACTGGCAGAAGAATTCCGGTATGTGAACATCTTCATAAACTCTGTTCGTTGTCTGGCTGTTGTCTCTCGTCTGACTGCTCCTCCGAGCTGTACCATAGGCTTTCAAATCCTGTGAGGCCTTGGGGTTTGTCCACTTGGAGGGGTGGCCGCAGGAGGCAGTGGAAGATTTGGTGCCAGAGAGGAGCTGGCAGCATGTCGACCACATCGTGACAAGTGATGGCTGAAGGGTGAATGATGGAATGCAGAAAAGGGAGGATAATGACAGAGGATCACATGAAAGTGTCAGAGGGAAATGGCAACATATCAGAGAGGAACGGAGAGAAACAGTGAGAACGAGACTCTTGCTCACGGAAAAGAGCGCAAGGAGCAAGGGGATGGGAGTAAGAAGGCGAGTGACAGTTTCTCATGCGAGAAACCAACAGATGAAAAGATGTCGATACAAACGAAAATGTATTAGCCTTAGAATGGCGAGGTTAAAAATATAGGAAGCTGAAGAGCGAAACCCAAGAACGGCAATACTTCAGGAAGCGCCAGTTTGCGTTGAAGAACAGGGAAGAGACTCGAAACATAAGGCTCCGGGTGAATGAGATTTGTGTGACAAATAACAGAAACAAACCGAGAAAATCCAGTAAAAACGGATGATGAGATTAGTATTTCTTTCTGCCCGTCCTACTGGAATTTCCTCTGCATTACCCTAATCAGCATTGCGCATGTATACCGAACTATGTGTCAGCATTGGTGGCTACGTAAAACTTGTCTCAAACCCGTCATTCAAATTTCGTCACCTACATTGACTTCGACACGGACGTGAAGATTCCATCGATCAATGCCAGATTCTCGTTGACGGAAGAGAGGGAATGGCGAGGCGAATGGGAGCCTCAATGAGGTAGCACTAGCGAGAAACCGAAGCCGGTGTATTCTGTTTCAGGTTTCGCGCGGCAGTTGCTGTGCCAAAATCAAGGGACAGCGGTGTTGTCCAGGCAGCGGGCGTCGGCATGGCAGCGACATGCGCGGCAGGATTGAAGCTCCCTAAGGACTTGTGTGTAGGTGCCACTCATGTGTCAGGAGGACCCACGAGAGACTATCAAACCATGCTAGTCGAAATTCGCCTCACACAAGGCGGATCCAGGCAGCAGTATCGCTTTCGACACCAGCTACAGAAACGGGCTAGAGATCAGGTCACGTTGGCGATCGCTTCGTATCTCAGCCTTTCTCGCGGGGATAATGTCGACACTAGGTGTTCGCTGGTGTCGCTGTTCACGACGGAATCTGCACGTGGTGGCTTGATCCCCTTGGAACGCGCACTGAAAAGAAATCAGGGTTTCAAAACTTCGCTAGAAGCATGTGATATTCCAGAATCATAGGCTACAAGTAGACGCTTTGTCAAATCTATACATCCACCACCAGACAAATGGAGTGGAGTGATGAGAAGTGGTAGGGGCCCTGGAGTGGAGCTTTAGTTGAGTCAATAAATGGCTAGTGAAGTAACAACTATATGACGAACCAACACATACGAACATTCCCAACGCACCACCAATGGTATCACAAAGAAACTCGCATAGTCTCACCTAGAGATTAACTGGACCACAAAAAAACACATAGAACTGGACATCATGTTCCAGTTTGCAATTCATCCTGGCTACCCTGTGCTGCATCTCCTAGAACCTTCCCTTGTATTTGAACATATGAGCCTCATCCTCCTCAACACTGTACCCCTCCACCAGCTTCCTATTCACACTGTACATATTTTCCCTCACGTTCTTCGGCTGCTTCCTCTCATCAAACCTATCCCGCAGCACCCCGCTCTTCGCCTGCCGCACATGCTTGAGCGGCGCATTGCTCACCGGCTGCCCCTTCCTCTGCCAGTAGAAGGAGCGGTCCACCACACAGTAGAGCGCCAGGGGCGGGGTAGTCCTGCCGCAGTGCAGCCAGTGTGGCGGCGTCACACGCCTTGCGAGAGGGGAAGAAGAACTGCAGATTCGGAGCATCGATAGAAGGCGGCTTCGCAGGGGCCTTCTTCTTGCGACTCCCTCCCCTTCCTCCACCGCAGCCCCTCCCCCCATACTCACCCTCCTCATCATCATCATCGAAACCATCCTCATCCTCATCATCATCTTCCTCCTCGTCATCATCACCATAACACCCACCCCAGCCACCGTCCTCATCCAGATCATCATCAAACTCCCCGTCCTCCATAAACGCCCTATAATTCTCCACCGTCGCCTCCCACTCCTTGTTGTGCGGCCCCTCTGCATGCATGACAATCCCAAGGCTGCGCAGGTTCCTCCACTCCACACCCACCTCGTGGATCGGAATCCCATGCCTCACTACAAGCACCTCCACGTTTTGAGCTATAGAGCGCAGCCACTCGGTCCAGGAAAAGCCGGAAATGCCGCGGGGAACGTGCTGCCAGGAGGGGGGCAGCTGGTAAGAGATCCCGGGGCAGCTGGATTCCTCATCACTGGCTGGGCCATTGAGGTAGGCAGCTCGCACGGATGCGATGGGGAGGGAGGAAATGACGAGCCGCTCCTGGCCGTACAGCGAGAGGTGGTCGAGAGCAAGAGGAGCGGTGCTCTTGCAGGAGAGAACAAGCCACTTGGCCATCACTGAGAGAGTCTTGAGTGCAGGGGAGACAGAGAGGGTGAGCTTGAACTCGTTGCTGGCAAAGCGGAAGCGGAGGAGGCGGGCATTGGGGAAGGAGAAGGTCATAGCGTGGGAGCCAAAGACGGGTCCACGGGAGAGGTGCCAGTGCAGGTAGAGCGTGAACTCGTGCAGCTGCGGCGTGATGGAATCAATATATTCGAAGTTCACGTGGCTCGTATCCACCTGCTTCAGGGTCAGACGGCGGATTGATTTCAGCCACGCGGCATTCGCGCAACTCTTGTCGAGGTTCCACATGCCTCGGCCCAGCTTCAGGCGCTGCAGGTGCGAGCAGTTTTGAAGGAAGCTGAGAGTCCAGTCCTTGTACTCATGCTCATCGAACATGGTTACGAAGCCCCGCAACTTCAGTCTGAAGGAGGAAAGAGAGGGGCTGCAGCGAGTGATCAAAGGGCGGAGGGAGGGCAGCTGGTCCATTTCTGTGAAGATGAGATCAAGAGAAGTGATGTGCTGGCCGTGGTGGGTGAGGAAGTAGCGAATGGTCTTCTCCCAACGCTCGTCCTCGTACACGAGGGAGATTGGCTGTTTCTCCTGCACCAAGTGAGTATTGCAATAAATGGTTGCAAAGAAAGAAAAAGAAGGAGACAAAGAAGATAAGATCCAGTCAATGATGTTTCCTGCATGTTCAAGATGCTCATGCGTGTTGGACAAAAGCATGTGGTAAATGTTTTTGTAAGGTTTCATTATGAACCATGGATTGCTGCGAAAATCAATGAGGAGTTCAGACAACTTGAGGAACAAGATGAGTTGGTCAAGTCTGCAAGAAACGGAGCAGAGGACTCACAACGAAAGAGAGGACATGCTGAAGAAGCCTCTTGCTAGTAAGAGAACAGCAGATTAATGTGAAAGAATGAGGAATGAATGAACTAGCAAGCAGGTGGGTACAAGTAGGGAAACATAGAAATGTTGTACCCCATATAGTCTACCCCACTACAGCCTACACAGACCATAGCATATAAGTTAGACACACCCCCATAGGCAAAGTGGGGGAGAACTCTGAGCACAAGAGCAAGGCCAAAAGGCTAGTTCACATGCAAGATAATATATAAAGGTAAACAGGCAAGTGCAGGTATAGAAAGATCACAGTACAAGCAAGGTCAAGAAGTGAGCAAGTGAGGCCAAGTAGGTACAAGACCTAGCATCGTACAGAAGCGCTGATGATCACCAAGCGGAAGTGCCTTGGTGAAGATATCAGCAGTGTTGGCCTCAGAGGCCACGTAAGCAAGGCGCAGCTGACCACGCTGTTGCAGCTCACAAGCAAGGAAGTAGCGGAGAGCAATGTGCTTCGTTCTGTGCTCCAGTCTGTGCTCCAGTCTGTGCTCCCGACACAAGGCCATCATGGCCTTGTTGTCTACGTACAGCACTGGAGGAGAACGAGGCGGCTCTCCTAGGTCAGTCAGCAGGTAGGTGAGCCAGCGTAGCTCCTGTGCAGCCATGGCCCCCGCGTAGATCTCAGCCTCACAACTGGAGCCGAGAACAGAAGACGAGCGGGTAGACCGCCACGAAACAGAGCCGGAGCCAAGACTAAAGGTGTAACCCTGTGACGACCGCTGCGTAGCCTGGTCGTCAGCCCAAGAAGCGTCTGCGTGACCTGTGAGGACCACTGGACGTCGCCCTCCAAGCACTAGCCCCATGCCCGACGTACTGCACAAGTAGCGCAACACCCTCTTCGCTGCAGCCATGTGCTCTGGTCTATGTCTCCCAGGAGCAACATAGCGTGCCAAGATGCTAAGAGGGTATGCAAGGTCAGGTCGTGTGCAGGTCATCAGGTACATGAGGCAGCCAACAAGCTCTGGGTACGGGCCACTCGGCTCTACGGACTCATCCGAAGGCAGAGCTGAGAGCGAGTGGCGAGTAGACAGAGGAGTGGCCTGAGGCGAGGAGTACGTGAAGTCGAAGCGATGAAGGACCTGCTGCACCATGTGTGACTGAGTGAGGGTAATGGTGCGCTGTGCTCTGTCCCGGGTGATCTGCAAGCCAAGGTAGCTGCGCAGTTCACCCAGGTCTGTGCAGGTGTGTCTCTTCTGTAGCTCGGACTTCACGTGGGAAAGTCCAGTAGTGTCAGTAGTGGCAAAGACCAAGTCATCGACGTACACGAGGATGTAGAACGGCGGCAAAGAGGTGTCGGTGCGTAGAAACAGCGACGGGTCAGCTGTAGAAGGAGCAAATCCAAGAGCCGCAAGTGTAGTCTTCAGTGTGTCGTGCCACTCACGGGGCGCCAGGAGGAGACCGTAGACTTGCCGCCGGAGGCTCCACTGGGTACCAGGAGGAAACGACCCAATGAAGCCAGGTGGGCGGCGCAGCCAGATATCCTCGTGGAGGCTGCCCTGCAGGAAAGCTGTGCTCAAGTCAAGAGAGTGGAGCTCGTAGTCGCGCTGAGCGGCTATGTGCAGCAGCACCCGAAGAGTGGTCATCTTCGGGGTGGGAGAGAAGGTCTGAAAGTAGTCAACTCCCTGCCGCTGACTGAAGCCTCGAGCCACGTAACGCGCCTTGAAGACAGGCGGAGAACCCGGCGGCCGCTTCACCCTGAAAATCCACATGCCACCGACGATGTTCGCCCCAGGTGGGGGAACCTCGTCGACGTAGGTGCCTGTGGACTTCCAGAAAGCCATCTCTGCGTCCATGGCTGACTGCCACTAAGAGGAGTAGGGACCCTTGATCGCCTCAGCGTAAGATCGAGGAGTCGGGATGTCTGGTGCATCCGGGTCTCCCTCAGGGGCAATTAGCGTGGACACGAGATGAGGCAAAGCAGCAGCAAAACACTGGAACTCCTCCTGCCTGTCCTCAAGGACGTCCGTGCTAAGAGCACACTCACCCCCGACGGACGGAGGACAGACAGACTCAGACTCAGCAACGACACTAGCAACGTAGTCTAGACGACAACGAGCAGCAAAGTCGACAAGCTCAGCAACTAAGGCAGACGCAGCAGTGGACTCAAAGGAAGGGTCAGTGACAACAGTGGCCAGGAGACGCGTGATAGTTGGACTGGCAGCATGAAGAGAGTCAGACTCCGGGTCAGCAAGAACAGGAAGAGAGGACCCTGGAGGAGACGGCAACGGGACATGCAGAGGAGCAGTGGAAGGACGAAGTGCCATCTGGTGTGTGCCTGGGACCGCAGGAGGACGCGGACGCGGAGCACGACGACTAGTGCGAGCAGCACGAACAGGCGACGCAGGACGAGACACAGGCTCGCGACGCTCAGCAAGACCTCCAGTAGGACTAGTGTAGGGAGAAGGAGAAGGCAGGGGGGAGGCGGGCTGTAACTGTGACTGCGAGTGGACAGGCTGAGGACACTCTAAGGGAGGAGCAGGACCAGTAGAGGGCGGGAGACCAAGAACCTGCTCAAGGAGCAGAACGAAGTACGGCCTCGGCCGCGCAGCGCCAGCACCCCCAGAGGCAGCACCAGCGCCAGCAGCACCTCCAGCTCCAACAGCGCCAACTCAAGCACCCTCAGACGCACCCGCGCCAGCAGAACCACCAGCGCCAGCAGAACCACCAGCGCCGACACCCCCAGCAGCTCCAACTCCAGTAGCTCCAGCAGCTCCAGCAGCACCAACTCCAGCAGAACCGACAGCTCTAGTACCGCCAGCAGCTCCAGTACCGCCAGCAGCTCGAGCAGTACCTGCAGCAGCACCCCCAGCCCCAGCAGCTCCAGTACTGCCAGTACGAGCATCTCCGGGACCAGCAGCAACAGTAGTACCTCCAGCTCCAGCAGCACAGCTCCAGCGCCGGGCAAACCACTCGCGCAGCTCCTGCGGAGAGAGCGGCTCCCGCCTCGACGAAGCACCGCGAGAGGCCACACGAGCAGACCCAGCACCCCCAGGCTCTGCACCCCCAGGTTCAGCACCCCTAGACTCAGCACCCCCAGGCTCAGCACCCCCAGACTCAGCACCCCTAGGCTCCGCAACCCTGGACTCAACACCCCCAGGCTCCGCACCCTCAGACCCGGCACCCGCAGGCACAGCACCTCTAGCAGCACCAGAGTTGACAGCTACCTCGACAGGCTCGACTGCGTCTACCTGGGACACACCTGATGGGGCAGGACCCTGAGGGGGTAGGGGGTCTACCGGGGGAGGACCTGGCGCAAGGAAGAGCGGCGGCGGGGGGAGGGGCGCAGTGCCGTAGGGGAAGAGACGGAAGTAAGGCACCGACTCGTCAAAGGTGACGTCCTGGGAGGACAGAACGCGGCGCGAGGTGGGATGGTAAAACTGCCACCCAGGCGCGTCAAGGGGGAAGCCAAGGAAGACGCAGGGAACAGCACCGGGGGACAGCTTGTCCGCAGACAAGTCGCGGACAAACGCCCGAGATCCCCAGACCCGAAACGCAGACGCATCGCCAACCTTCCCTGTCCACCGCAAGGTGTGGGAGGTCTCTGGCAAGGAGACCCGGGGCTGAAGGTTGAGCTGATGCGCTGCGTAATAAACCGCAAACGGCCACAAAAAATGGGGGGCAACCGCATGGATCATGGACGTACGAGCGACGTCCATTACCATGCCAATGCGGCACTCAGCAATCCCATTTTGCTGTGGAGAGGCCGGAAGCGTGAAGGTCTGACGGATGCCCTGTGCACGACAGAAGGCTCCCAGACGGGCAGAGGAAAACTCCCCGCCTTTGTCAGAGTGCAGCCGCAGAACAGGATAGTCAGAGCCGAAACTCTCGCTGAGCTGGATACGAGCTGCGCATATCCAGTCCATCAACACCTCAGTGACGTCACCCTTGCTGCGCAAGGGGAAGACTGTGGTGTAACGCGAGTAGTCGTCAACCACCAACAGGAAGTAACGCTCGTGCCCCTAACCACGGACGCGGGCAGGGCCCCACACGTCCATGTGAAGAGTCTACAGCGGAGCCTCTGTTAGAGGTAACTCGGAGGAGTGAGGGGCGGCGCGCTGTCGCCCCTCGACGCAGGGGACGCAGGTGGGGGCAGGCCTCGGAGGTAGGGGAGGGAGAGACCGGGGGAGACCTGAGACAAGGACACGGGAGGCCATGCCTCGGAGACGAGGCAGGGAGGGGTGACCAAAGCGGTGGTGCCAAAGGAGAGTCCAGTGGGACAGGAGACGACACGAGCAGGGAGCAGACCCAGGACCAGACCTGGACACTGCAACAAACACCTGACTCGACGCAGCGACCTAACCAGACTCAGAAACTGGAGGAGACTCAGTAGTAAGTGTGTACAGGCTCGACCCCGGCCGACGGGTGAACGTGGCCAAGTGTCGGCCAGTCCGAGCACACGTGCAGTGGGTCACCCGCTGAATCGCAGGAGTGAACTGGTCAACCCCCCTATCCTGTAGATCAGCACCACTCACCAAGTTCGTAGAGAACGAGGGGAGGTAGAGACCTGACAGGGTGCCAGAGGGGGCTGCCGGGCACGGTAAGACAGTGGAGAAGCTAGCAAGGACAGGACCCCTAGAGGGGTCCGCCAGGGAGACTGCAACCGGCCGACTAAGCGGCATAAGCGTGGTGCGGTCTCGAAAGAAGGAGCGGGAAGTACCTGAGTCAAGGGTGAAGGTGTGTAAGGCCTGAGCCGACGTAGTACCTGAGAGAGCAGACTCACCAGCACCTGGGGCAAGAGACGCACTAGCACCTAGAGCAGCAGCCTCACCAGCACCTAGAGCAGCAGTCTCAATGTCCGGGTCAGGCGGAACACACAGGTAATTGTCACCCTCATCACTAGTAGACACAACATA